CACCGCGGCCGTCATTTTCCAGCCTTGCGCCCGCCAGGTTTGGGCCCGAGGTCGTTTTCATTAAACCACGTTTTACTAAAGGGGGTTCTGTCCATCCCCGATTACCACGCCCCCGTGAAGCAGCGCCCGAGCCCAGCCTCCGGGTCGCCAGCCTCCACCGCGTGCAGCGAGCAGCCCGCCGGGCTGGCAGGGCGCCGGCAGCCCGCACCGCGCCGGCCCTGGCCAGGCTGCAGTCGGGCCTGTCCCTCTACAGGAGGGACACTCAAACATAGAAGAACTAATATATATATATATATATATATATATATATATATAAGTCAGGGGACGACTTCTTGATAATCTCTGACCATCTGGGAGTATTACTTGACTATGTTTGGTTTTTCGTCGAAAATCTCCCTGTAGGGGGACATTCAGGAGGGAAAAAACACACAGACACAAGTAATCGTCAATTCCGAGAAGATATGTGAAAATATGGGAAGTGGTGGTGAAGACAAAAACCCAGAAAATATGGAAAATATAGGGGATATGTTTTATTTGTGTGTCTTTATTTGTGTGTCCTAGGGCCCCTTCAGACATGCCCGACTTGAGGTCGGGGCCCCGCGCGATGGCCCGACGGCTCCGGCTGCACGGAGCACGACGCCGCGGAGCAGCACGGCACGCCGGCGCCGCGGCCACGCGGGCGACACATTGGCGACGAGGACGGCGACGGCGACGGCGACGGCGACGGCGACGGCGACGACGACGACGACGGCGACGGCGACGGCGACGGCGACGGCGGCGGCGACGGCGACGGCCGCGGCGCCCGCGCCAGTTTTTGCCCCCCCCGGGGCGATGCGGCGACCGCCGCCCTGGGCGCGGGGCCGCTCGCGGGCGCGGGGCGCCCCGCGGCGAGGCGCCCCCGCGGTGGGTCCGCGCTTTCCGAGCGTCGCCGGTCGTCGCCGCCGCCGCCGTCGTCGTCGGCGTTCGCCGCTCGCCGCTCGTCGCTCATCGCTCGTCATCGGTCGGCGGCGTCGCTCGTCGCCGTCACCGGCGTTTGCCGCTCGTCGCTGGCCGCTCGTCGCTTGTCGTTCGTCGCGCGCCGCTCGTCGCTCGTCATCGGCCAGGGTCGTCGTCGGCGTTTGCCGCTCGTCGCTGGCCGCTCGTCGCTTGTCGTTCGTCGCGCGCCGCTCGTCGCTCGTCATCGGCCAGGGTCGTCGTCGCCAGCGTTCGTCGTCAACGTGGTTGCAGCCATCGTCATCGTCGGCGTCGGCGTCGTCGCTGGCGTTCGGCGTGGCCCGTCGTCGCTTGTCGTGGTCGCCCTCGTCCTCGATTTCGTCCTTGTCGGCGCTCGTCGTCGCGGTCGCTGGCGTTGTCGCTGTGGTGGTGGTCGTGGTCGTCGCAGCAGGAGGAGGTGGGAATGGAGGCGAAAGAGCAGGGGCGACGTAGTTAGCATGGCGATGAACAGCATCGCCCCCCCCCGTCCCTCTCCCCTGGGGCCTGCATGTGCAGCTGCCAGGCATCGGAGATACATCAGGACGGGAAAAACACAGACACAATTAATCGTCGACTCCCAGGAAGATATGGGAAAATATGGGAAGTGGGGGGGGAAGACAAAAAACCCAAAAATACTGGAAAATATTGGAAATCTTTTTATTTGTTTGTATTTATTTGTGTGTCCCAGGGCCCCTTCAATGAGAGGCCACGGCAGGTCCGCGCCGAGGGGGTCTCGATCGCTCCCCCCCCCTCCTCCTCCTCCTCCTCCTCCTCCTCCTCCTCCTCCTCCTCCTCCTCCTCCTCCTCCTCCTCCAAGGATGGAGGCTCCGGTGTCGGGCCGAGGCTCGCGAGCGATTGCGGCCTCCCTGGGGGCGCCGGAGGGGGGGAGGAGGAGGGAGGAGTTTCGCCAGGCGCCTGGCTGGTGGCTGCGCACGGCCGATATCGGCGGAGGAGAAGGAGGAGGAGGAGGAGGAGGAGGAGGAGGAGGAGGAGGAGGAGGAAGAGAGGAGGGGGAGGGGAGGAGGAGGAGGAGACGGGAGGAGGAGAGGAGGAGGAGGAGGAGGAGGAGGAGGAGGAGGAGGAGGAGGAGGAGAGGAGGAGGAGGAGGGGGGACCCCTCCCCCCTCACCCTTTTACAAGCGCAAGAGCGCCCCTTGGCAATCTCGAGGATCTTCAGGACGCGTGTCAGCCCAATGTTCGAGTAGGGGATCGATTGCAGAATTGATTTACCCCAAAATTGGTTCGTTCGTCGAATATGCAAACATATACGTATAATGTTTGCACATGTACAGAACATGAGACGTCTTCTTGCGCGTAGACTCAACGATCAATTTTGGGGAACTCAATTCTGTAGTCGATCCCCTACTCGAAATGTGTGTGTGTGTTTCCCGTTCAGCTCCGACGATAGCACGCAGCCTGTGTCGGCCCTCATTTCACCGCCCGCGTCATATTGAAGAATTTCGGTGGACACGCACATGTTGGCTCCGGGACGGGTTTTGAGGATAATCGACAACCAGAGGAGGGGAGGA